TCACAAGAAATCTCAATATATCCTTCCTGGAAAATTATTTTATGAATAAATTAATATTTTAGGGGGAGGATAACTATTTCTGAGAGGATGGGACTAAGAATAACAATACAGTAATAGTCCCTTAGGTCATATATCTTCCTATTCTAATTTCTTGTCAAGTAACTACACTTCCTGATCATGTCTGCATGATTTATAGTTATTTAAAATGAAGCAAAGCAATACATATGTAATGGAAGAGCAGTTTGTGAGCTTTAATTCAAGGGTTTTTACCAAATTCTGCTGCAATTAAAGGCATGTTCAGTTGGGTGGAGACCAGGATGGATGGTTTTGTAGTATTTCAAGTATTGAGCAGGCTTTTTCATGTTTTTTATGTTTTCTGGACAAGTTCAATCTGGCCTTCCTATTCTTGAGGCTAACCATCAGTTTGTGCCTTGTGGTAAACCCTCTGCATTTACTTTCATTAAGTTTTCACTGTATTGTAAACCTCAGCAATTATATGCCCAACTTATGGAGAGTGTTCTGGATTTGGCTAGATGTTTTGAAGGGATTTTTCTTCACCATGGAAATGATTCTTCGATTGTCTACTACAGTTTTCATCTGTGGTCATCCAGGCCTTTGGAGTTGCTGAGCTTCCAAGTGTGTTTCTTCTTTTTAAGAATGCAGCCATTTGTTATTTTACAACTTGTAATGATCCCTACTATTTCTCTGATGGGTTTGTTTTAAGATTTTTAATCTAATCATTGTCTGCTTAACATGCACTGATAGCTCTTTGGACCTCATCTTGAGTTTACAAAACCAGTTCCAAATTCAAATTCCACATTTAGAATTAATTTCAGACTTTTTAAGTAAGTGCTTATTTGCTAATGAAATTATGAGAGAATGGCCCACACCTCACCATGAAAAAACAGTCAATTGCCAAACTAATTTTAGTCCCTTGATAAGTAGGAAATACATATAAAAGTGGTGAACCATTCAACTAATTTGGAGGTATAAAAACACCCACAAATAAAGATCTCAGTTTGCACTTCAGTCACAATATGATTCCTTTTAAATTGTGGTGTACAGAGCCATACTGTTGAAAATGATGTCACTGTTGAAATACTTATAGACTTAACTGTACATATAGAGTTATGCCAGATTATTTACTTTTTATCTATCAGCATATGTAAGCAGATATATCTAATAGAGTGGCCACTGGTGAAACAGTGATCACATACTGCTTTATATAGCTAACCTGTAATCATGTACATGCATAAACCTATTTTTCTAAAACAAATTAAATGTCTTTAGATTTCCAAAAATAAAGATAATCTTTTAGCTGACAAATTTGGAGGAAATAGTTGGATATTGTAGATTTTACAGCACGCAGAAAGAGTTCTTCCTGCGGTTATCCATCTTGGTAAACTCGCAGCCTTTGGCCCATTAGAGACGCAAAACTATTGATTGTGCTACACATGCAGCCTATGATGCAGAGAGAATAAAACAAAAACATTCAAAATGTCCTGTTTGTTTCCTTGACAATGCTAGGCAAGGGTTACGTCCATTCATCACTGATACATGTCATCTTGCATGCATCCAGCAATGTTTCCTGCATTTGATAAAACAGTATATACATACACAACACCATAGTAAGGAATATAAATCACATCCAACAAAATATTTAAATAATAAGCAAATTTTATATTGTTAGAACGGTGATGTAGGACAAAACGTTATGCATTTAATTTACTTTTGCAATGCAACCTGGTAGAGTTTTTATTTTCTTTCAGCCACCATCATGGCGGTCTCTGAGTAATAGTTCAAATAGTTCCCATCCACCCAACTACTAGATACTACTGCCCCACTATGCGGAGGGTCACAAAAGGATGAAACTAGTCCTTGGTTGGTCATTGGTCCATTTAGATCATAGCCTCCGCTTTTGGCATAAAAGGATGTGCTTTAAAAAAAGAATATCACTGCTAAAGGGTACAATATGGCTAATGATCCAATTCTGGAGAGCATGTACTTCTCAATTCCTATTTGCCTTCATGTACCTCATTAAAATTTGTGATTACCGGTAGTATACCATATTTTTCAGATTCTGTTTAGCTATTTGGATTAGATCTACCTGTTAACTCTGGTTCTGACGCACTGCACTAAGTTGTTATTGTTGTGCTGACTGTTTTTAATAAATAGAAATACAAAAAATGTGGTATCGAAATGTGACAAGTGATGACTGAGTTTATTTTCAAATTTAGCAGGGAGAATTGTGGGAACACAGTTTTTCAGTGTGTCTCAAGTAGACATTTTCTAAGGTTTATCTTATGACGTGTGCGAGACAAAGCAAAATTTGGGTTGGAAATCTGAAAACGATCTAACTGTATGTGTTTATTTCAACATTAAGCATTGCATTCTAGAACAATTGTGGGGCCTTCAAGAATTGTTGTGTATAAAATATGACTAGGAATATGAAGGTGATGTACGACAGTAAATTTCAGAAGTCTTTGCATTTGATGCAAGTTCTTATTGACATATGTCAGACCTCTGATTGCCAGGCAATGTTATTGGGTCTGGACACGGAGAAGACTTTCAGTTGGATTGATTGAAACTTTCTCTGGGAAGTAACAGACTGGGTTGGCGTTCCCCGTCAATTTGTCTTGGCAATGCAATCTCTCTACATCAACTCAATAGCAAAGGTTTTGACCATGGGGGCCATGTCCTCTAAGTTTGTAATCAGAAATTAGACTAGACAGTGTTGCCCCTCGTGTCCACAATTTTTTGCTTTATACATCAAGTCTTGGGTTGTGTGATCAGAGAGAACCAAAATATATCAAGAATTGGCTATGGAGAAGTAAAATACAAGTTAAGCAAACAATGTGCTTTTAGCAGTCACTAAATCCAGAATTACCTTGCCATGTTTATATGTTTATATATATGATCACTGAATTATCAAGGCTTTTTATCTATAAATTAAACCTAACAAAGTGTGAAGGAAGGTCTAAATCTCTCTTTTGGAGTAGAAGAGATTTGGCCTCTACCGTCCTTGGATGCAGAGGAGGAGTTTGATAGGATTAAGTGGCTATATCTTTGTAATGTTGGGGCTTTATAGGGACATGTATAATGGCTGTCAGAGCCAATTATACAAATATTTACCCCAAACACAAATTTTAGAGGCAAAACTCAATAGATCTACTATTGGGAATAGCACCAGACAGGAGTTCACCTTGACCCTGGAGTCGCTCCACCATATTATTTGAAACCATCCTGGAACCTCCGGAGTTATGGTAGCCGGGAATGCCTTCATAGTCTCTGCCTATGCAGACAACCTATTGCTCACAATAACCAACCCACTTTTTTCCATGCATCACCTGAACACAGCTCTCAAATCTCTAGAATTACTCATCCCTAATCCAAACCATGATCAGAGTCCTAGATACCTAGGTGGATAGGTCGTGTCCATGTCATAAAAATTTATATCCTTCCTAGATTGATAGTTTAATTTTAGTCACTGCCAATTCGTCACCCAAAACATGTTTAGCCCACCTACAGGTTGCCATGGCCAAATTGATTTGGCAAAATAAATGTCAGTGTGGCTCATGGGGTTTTCTATCGGCCAAGAAAGGCTTGTGGGCTGGGGTTGTCTCACCATAATCTCTACTACCAATCAGCCCAGATGGCCCAAATTTTTATATGGCATTCCCCACTATCTCAAAGAAGGTGGGTGGACCTGGAGTTGGACCTGCCTCAATTCAAAACTGCCCAGCAATCTTTTGAATTTGGGATGCCACTGTGATAGAATTTAGGGATACTAGACTAAGCAGGTTTGCAAAGGTTTGGCCACCACTACGAGAACACCACATTCATCTCTTCCCCTGAGCTACAATAAAGGGCTAGATGGTCTCCAAAAGATTACTTTAGATATATACAACTAAGAAGTTTTGCAGTGCGAAGTAAAATGAAACAGACTGCCCAGACTCCCCTAACGTCATTCAAAAGTCTATGTACACATGATGCATCATAAAATGGTTGGTGTCCCAGATTTACCTTCACCTCTGCACCCACTAAAATGAATAGGGAAACCTTAGCTATTGGATCAAGACCTGGGCTATGCACTTGATGAGGGGGAGTGGGAAAAGATTTGGTAAGCAAATGCCAAATCCTCAATCTGCATCACACTGCAGGAACAATCACTTAAAACCCTATTCAGTTGGTACACCACACCAGTTAAATTGGCATTCTGCATGGGGAAAACTGATTCTGATGAATGTTGTAGGCACTGTTGAAACAGGGGAACCTATCACCATAAGTGGTGGGCCTGTCCGAGTGTGGAGTGTACTGGGGGGTGAGGTCTCTTGCATCCTTCAGAGACCTATGCCTCTGTACTCTTGGATGTTTCTACACTCCAGGCCTCTAGACGGTTTCAACTCTAAACAGAGGAAATTCTTGAGCAAAAACATGTTGGTGGCTGGCCAGTTCTGGCTGTTGAGACTCCCTCTATATTGGCAACTTCTCTGACCCGACTATCTCCCTCTTCAACCTCTCCTCTCTAAATCTTGCCCTTTTCTTTCTCTTTCCTCTATCTAACCATCTTCTCACACTCAAAAAAAACACTTGCACATAAAGTAAGTACATCTTCAAATGCACAATAAAATAGATAGCCAACTTTGGATTCAGGATCCACCGGCTGTAGCTAGCAATTTTAAGCTATGATTCACAATTAACCCTGTTTGATGCAAAACAATTATGCTGCTATATCATATATAATATGTGCCTGATATTGTAATCTTATCTGCAGCCAGGGGCGGACTGACCGGCTGGGAGGGGGGCCCGCCGCCAGGGCTGCCTTCAGGGGGCCCGGCAGCAGGGCTGGATTGGGGGCGGCATTTGGGGACTGCAGGTGCCACCGGGTGGCTGCCCCGGTGGCACACTGTGAGGGGGGGGCGGCCGTTTCATGCTGGAGCCGCCGGAGCGGGTGGCAGCCTCGCCGGTCCGGCGGCATTCCTCTCACTAACGCTGAAGGAGGAGGAGGAGGAGGAGCATGTGTCTGTCATGCTCCCTGCGGTTCCCACAATTCCCAGCACAGGACCGCAGGGAGCATGACAGACACATGCTCCTCCTCCTCCTCCTCCTTCAGTGTTAGTGAGAGTAATGCCGCCGGACCGGCGAGGCTGCCACCCGGTCCGGCGGCTCTAACATGAAACGGCTGCCCCCTCAGACTTTCGTAAGAGGGGGGAGAGATGGGGAGGGGGAGAGATGGGGAGGGGGGAGAAAGAGGGGAACAGAGAGATGGGGAGGGGGAGAAAGATGGGAACAGAGAGATGGGAGGGCGAGAGATGGGGAGGGGGGAAAAGAGGGGGGGAAACAGAGAGATGGGGAGGGGGAGAAAGAGGGGGGGAAACAGAGAGATGGGAGGGGGGGGAGGGAGGAACAGAGAGATGGGGGGGGGGAGAAAGAGGGGGAACAGAGAGATGGGGAAGGGGAGAAAGAGGGGAACAGAGAGATGGGGAGGGGGGAGAGAGGGGAGTAAGATGGGGAGGGGGAGAAAGAGGGGGGAACGGAGAGATGGGGAGGGGGAGAAAGAGGGGAACGGAGAGATGGGGAGGGGGAGAAAGAGGGGGAGAACAGAGGATGGGGAGGGGGAATAGAGGAGATGGGGAGGAGACGGGGAGAAAGATGGGGGAATAGAGAGATGGGGAGGGGGGAGAAAGATGGGGCAATAGAGAGATGGGGAAGGGGGGGCAATAAAGAGATGGGGAGAAAGAGAGGGAAGAATGAGACACAGGGGGAGACAGAGACAGAGAGGGAAGAATGAGACACGGGGAGAAAGAGGGGGGAATAGAGAGATGGGGAGGGGGAGAAAGAGACAGAGAGGGAAGAATGAGACACAGGGGAATAGAGAGATGGGGAGGGGGGAGACAGAGAGGGAAGAATGAGACACGGGGAGAAAGAGGGGGAATAGAGAGATGGGGAGGGGGAGAAAGAGACAGAGAGGGAAGAATGAGACACGGGGAGAAAGAGGGGGAATAGAGAGTTGGGGGAGGGGGGAGAAAGAGAGGGAAGAATGCCACCCCTCCCCTGTCCGCAGGCACCGTGCGGGCAGGGGAGGAAGAGAGGACCTGGGAGCTCACCCTGCAGCTCCTCTGGGTCCTTCTTGCGCGAGCACAGAGCGTTGCCGTGGTTACCATGGCAACGTTACTGCTCTTGCGAGAGTCAACTCTACACACTGCCCCCACACACACACCATACACATTCACACACTGCCCCCATACACACCATACACATTTACACACATTGCCTCACACACACACATACACTGCCCACCCATATACACACAGCCCCCCATACACAGCCCCCCATACTAACATTGCCACACACATACACCGCCCACACACCCTACACATTCACACACTACACCCCCACACACACACTGAACCTTTCACACACATTGCACCACTGCTCCTATTCCCCACTACAGCCTCATATCCCAGCAGACCCCAGGTAAGTTGTCAAACTGTTCTTAAACGGTTTGACTACTTACTCTGGAGCAGTAGTGGTTATTGTGCATGGATTATTTCTTTAAATAATCTACAAGTGCCCCAGTAGCCAGCCAGCCAACCCACAGGCTGACCAGTAGCCAGCCAGTTAGCCAGCCCACAGGCCAGTAGCCAGCCCACAGGCCTACAGCAAGCCACAGGCTTACAGCCAGCAAGCCACAGCCTGCCAGCCGCAGCCTGCCAGCCGCAGTCAGCAAGCCCACAGCCTGCCAGCCGCAGCCAGCAAGCCCATAGCCTGCCAGCCGCAGCCAGCAAGCCCACAGACTGCCAGCCAGCAACAGTAATTAAGGTAAGAGGAGCCAACTTGGCTTAGGTATCAGCGAGCTATGTTGTGTTGCTATATTGTGAATAGGAACCAGAGTGTTGGAGAGACCACCCTCCAGGCCCCATTAGACTCTATCCTCTGCTAGAAATCCCCTCCATGGCCCATTAGCCCTCAATTGTAGTTTCTACTGGGGCCTGGAGGCGACTGTTTCCAGCAGGGGATATCTAATTGACGCTGAGATGGCCTCTGTTAGAAAGACCCCCTTCCAAGCCTTTTAGACTCCATTGTAGTCTCTAATGGGGCTTGGAGGGGATTCTATCTAACACACTCTCTAAAGGACACTGAGATAGCCTCCGCTAGAAAGACCCCCCTCCATGGCCCACTAGCCCTCAATTGTAGTCTCTACTGGGGCCTCGAAGGGCTTATTGCCCTTTTGTTCCTTGTGTCTAAAGATTGTGTAGGGTGTGGCTGGAGGCGGCACAAGGGTGGCGCTTGCTGCAGAGTATGGGTGGGGCCTGTAAGGGGGCCCTTGATTTATTTTGCCTGGGGGCCCTGAGGGTTCTCAGTCCGCCCCTGTCTGCAGCAATAAATAAGTAATTCAGTAATTCAATATTTTGGAGTGAAAACCTTACCACTGCAGAAATATCTTTACTCTGTTAATTATCTGCATTTGCTCATGAAATTTTAATCTCTTCTGACCTGCTGGATGCCCAAGAAAATTTCTCTAACAGGTTAAATGTATGCGCCGAAGATGATGCTAAAATTTTAATGGCTAGGTAAGAAGGCGAAGCTCTCATCTGAAATTGTACTGAGACCTAAAAATATGTTAGGCTTGTGTGTCCCAGACCACATTTTATTTTATAGAGTGGCTTAATTTGCCCAGTCTCTCAGGTGGTTGTCACTGTATGGCAGTAACCATTGGGGGGGACATCTGAGATACTGCATGAGCTCCATGGAGAAAAACGTGTATACAGATATGGCCTACTATCTAAGAAAGGGTTAGGCAACCATTGGCAGTGCAGACATTGTGGACTACATTTCCCATAATGCTTTTACAGTCATAATGATGGCAGTGCATCTGGAGTGCCAAAGATTGCCTACCACTGATCTAGGGGATGGTTGATGTTCCTTGTAAGCAGCAATCTCAGCTTCCACAATCAATGTTGGTGAAGACCCAAAGAATTTTCTTGGTGGATAATGTCACCATCGCTGATGTCACTTGCGGGGGCTGCAAGTGAAAGACAACCAGAAGATGCCAGCTGCAGGGGTCAATCATTTTTAAATAGTTTCCAATCTTTTGAAAGCTTGATTGAACACCACAGGCTTCCAAGTCTATCACAATTTGGACAGCTCTATAAATATAATTTGGGAAGGTCTATCACAATTTGGGCAGCTCTATATTAGGAATATCAATGGTCCTCTCTATACTCTACAACATGAAGTTTGAAGGTTAAACACGTGTTCAAGGACTCTGGGAATATGATATGGGCCTTAGGATACAGATGGCTGGAAGAAGATATTTGAGATGTTTAATAAGCTCTCTCAATTTAAACCAAAATCAAGGAAAATCATGCTGGTATTTCTTGCTGAACGTTTACTTGTTTGACAAAAATCCAAGATGTCTCCAGCACCCAAACTCATCTTCCTTACCGTGTGATGTCAAAATGTGAAGATGTCACTTTTTATAGTGATCTTACGGAGTGACACAGTGCTTAAAAAAAAGAGCTAGTTTGTTTGAAATCCATGGAACTTTTGAACAAGCTTAAACTGTCCTGGAACTTGTGGAAAGAGAAAGTGAAGTGCTTTTGCTCAGATGTCAAAGGTGAGGAGACGAGATTTGGATGTTGGAATTATTATGAAACGGTTTGACAAAAAAATCCACAGAGGCACCAAATATATTTTTCCAGCACCAAACTCCCTTAAGCTATCATAGTTATGGTGACTGGTTTACTCTTTTACGCTACAAATGAGAATTATTTTCATTTCACTGCTCTTATGACTTATTTTCTTCTTATTCGGGATAGGCAGTAATATAAATGTTTTTATGCAATTATGGTATCCATGTCCTTTCATGTACATGATACAAGTGTGTCAGCAGAGACACATGTAATGTAAAGTGTTTGTGACCACTAGACAGATGGTCTTTACCATGAGCAAACAAAGACTGAAAAGTCTGCATCTCCCCAGGTCTGCTAATGATATCATTACTGAGTATGCGAACAACACAAAGAAAAATTAATCAGCTTTCCACTTTATTTAATACATTGATGATGGTTGGTGAGATTTTAGTTTAATAGTTTACAATGCAAATATGGCTTCAGTTTACATAACCTGAGTCAAATCCCATGTTTTATGTGTACATAAAAACACATAAAACAAATAGTATATATCAGAGTAAACAACGAACGGATGACAGTGTGAAACCATAGTAAGTCAGATTGATCAAAGTAAAATGTAGCTTACATGGTCTTATATAAATTAATTAAATTGTTTATTACCTGCCAGCCCTCGAACACGCCTGGGGTTGGAGAGGTCCCTGTGCAGGTGAAGAACGCCCAATGGATGATACAGCCATCCTACTAAGGACGGGAGTTGGTTGACCCAGAGGGGGGGACTGTCACATAAGCCTGCTGCCACGAGAGCGAAGCGGCTGAGTTAAATAACCCCTCTGCCTCAGTAAATCGCAGGGCAAATGTTTCCTATATTTTCCATGTCTCCAATATGTTTTTCTCGGTCTATGGCTTCTCACTAGCTACCTCTTTTCTCTATAAACTGACACTAACCCACTGCTCAGGGCAACGGTGACATGTTATATAACCTGCTCACTTGTCTGAGTCAAATTAATCAGCAATTAAGCTGTTAGTTACCTGTTAATTGCTATTATACAAAAATTGTGGCAATTTTCTTAATGCTCCTATTGCTAAGAATGAATAGAAACTCGAGGATTGCTATTGGGGCACCACGAGCATGTATGTCAGAACTGCTATGCACAAATAAAAATATTAAATATAAAAATAGTCTATTCCCAAAAGATTACAAATATTTTCATTAAGCCACTTACTGTAGAAAGTTTTGGGGGTTTGCTGCTCGGAGACCGTTGTAACAGAAAGAAGCAGCTGTCTATTTAAAAAAAAAATTGTGGTTTATAATATCAGTGCAGTCGCAGATGATATGGTTTTAGTTATGAAAATTTGTTTTTAGTTTGCGGCGATGCTTATTTTGTTAGCCATTTTTCATTGCCGTCACGAGTATTTCTGATCCTATGTAAAAGTCCGTTTGTTGCATCTGGGATTTTGTTACAGTATGCTT